GAAGCTCTGCAAGGGATCTCCGTTCCGAGATCTTTCATGGTCAATTGATGTAACAACTACTCTACTAAGTCAAAATGTCAAGTCTAGTCCTTATATATCAAGAAAGGATACCGTGGATAAATGCATTATTAACATCTATATGTTGGATAGGCCGACCATGACGACTGACAATAGTGAGGATAACATGAATTGTTGTGGGCTTTATTGCATGACTGAAAGTATCATGGAAGTCAACGGTGGAAGTTGGTGGAAGGCTTTGGCAACAAAGTGGGCTTTATAGCAAGAAATAGTGCCATTGAGATTCCGTTTGATTCAGAAAATGCACCACAACATTTTTTGATGGATTCGAAGGAACCAGAATCCAAGTACCATTTTGGAGTGCGTTGATTTCATTAGACATGGCTTGACTTCAATGAGGAAATTTAAGTGGAGTGACGAAGGTGGTTTCCAATGATCCAGGGAGAGAATGTTTGGTAGTGGCAAGAGTTTAGGGACTTGGGGTTTGAACATTTGATTTTTAGACCTTGTCAATGTGTTATACTCGAAATTAACATGAGTTACATCGTGAATTCCTACATCATCAAAGAAAGAAAATGAACTGTTAAAATTAAATTTTTTTAACATGGGTGTCGACACTCTTGATCTTATTGAAAATGTTACATACAAAATTTGATGTCCATCTAAATGCCACGACGTCAACCACAAAAAGTCCCATCACTATCCTCATGTCATAGAATGAATATTTATGCCTCGATCGCTGAACATCCCTTGAGGAAAGGAATGTACAATGAATTTTAATTACATAAAAACATGAAATTATAGCAGTTGTTGACTTTAGTCAATTTAAGAGTTCAGTAATTGAAACTAATTTGAGTCTTAAAAAGTTGAGTTCAGGGCGGAACTTACACTTTAGTTCAGGTCATCTTGGTATAACTTTCTGCATAGCTCAACTTATCTTCAAGAGGAAGAAAATGCCGCAGTCATTTGGAAAACATCATCATTACATTCTAATTCCCTCACTCCATGGCTGACATCTCACCTTTATCTAATCCAATCACTTCAGGACACGTGACAAACATCATGGTGCGCCTCAAGTTCCCCATGATTACTTCCCACCTTAGCTCCATCATGGCACTTGGAAGCCGACCTCAACAGCAAATAAAAATTAGGCCAGCGGCACAATATTAGAGTCGACACTATAGCTAATTTTCATGGAAAACATACCAATTTGCCTATTTCTTGCTATAAATGGGATCGTAATGGTCCCCATAAAAACCGAACTCAACTATTGCATGCAACTCACTTCAAAATTCTCCCTACTCAATACATATACACTCCTTACTATTTCAGCAATATTCTACTATTGTAGCACAATTTACATATTTTAGCTCAAATTACCTCTTCCAATCATCAATTAAGTAGACAAAAGCGACTTAGTCATTGACATCAACAGCATTGTTCTAAAAAGCAGGCGCAAAACGTATCGTCTAGCACTTTTCGGGCTTTTTATTTTGTTATTATTTTTTGCTTTTTAACTTTAATTTTATCTTTTCTTTCGTGCCTAGTCGAGCTTTTCAATGCTTTTTCCTTTAATTATTAAATAAATTTTATATTGATTTAAAAATTTAAAATAATATTAACATAAAAAAACACTTTTTTATACCTAGTCCTTGCCTAACTCGAAGTTAGACCTCCATGCCTCGCCACGATTTATGCTTTTTAGAATACTGGATTATAGTTTGAATGTTATTACCTTTTTTCCAATTGTTTTAAAGTGTGATGTTTTGTCACGTTTTATTTCGCTTTTATTCCTGTTTCCGTGTAATCTAGGGCGCCAACATTATTTAAAATTGGTTTATGATATGATTCTGAGTCAATAATTTTGGATATCACCTGAAAGAGACGTTTATGGCATATGAGTTGATTTAGTGAAGAAGAAAAAGAAAATCGACGCACTTGCACATGCAAATTGCATATTGGACGGGGGTTTATTTATTAAAATTCAAAGACAAATGCTTCTGCTATCACATCACACTTCGTCTTATCCCTGTAGAAACCGCGTTAAACCCCGTCTCCCAAAAATCAAACTTAACCAACCCGCTTTCGCATCATCTCAAGACTGATTTTAGATGGTAGATCACGTTGTTATCAAGACTGATGCTATGTAAAAAAAATAAAAAAATAAAAATTTTGAACCCCAACTTTGAGGGCTCCTACCGTACCGCCCCTAGAGCTTTACAAGGGAGATAAATCGCGGGATGTGCCTCAACAGATCAGGAAACAAAAGTTGTCTATACATTGTGTTTACAAAGAGTCCAATTCTATGTTTCAGAGATTGATACTATGTATAATTATATGCAGGGATGGATACATACATTTTGAATTAGGGACAATTAAACTTTTAATAATGTTATGAGTAGTTTTTCATTCAATAAATTGACATAAAAAAAAAAAATACTCCATGTAATTTTACATCTAAAAATTTACATTGGTATGATTTTTTCTGATGTAATATTTCGAAATTTTTTTATGTCATATCCCATGTAAAATTAGATGTAAATTAGATTGAAAATTTGTATCGCAAAAATAATAATTATTGAAATTTTTTAAATAAAATACGAGTCATACACCTCTTATTTAAACGCGCGTTTGACCCATTTTTAACTAATTTCGATATTTTATTTGGACCATTCAATATGCCTATGATGTAGCTCTCGAAATGAGCTTCGAGATAGGAGATGACATAGGCGATTTGTGTATTTGGCTAGCATATAATCGTCGGAGAACTTTTAATGTTAGCATATTATCGAAATTTTCGAAATATTAATTTGAAATGACCTACTATGATAAGACGTAACATTTGTTACGATTAGTTGTTTCGCGCGCCATTAACAACATAAAAAATTAGGTTGTGAGTAGTTTGAAATGATATTAAGAATGCAATATTTCGACTTTATTCGACATCTCATAATCACTTCAAGAATTGAGACAAAAACATGAAAATTTAGGTGAAAAAATGGGCCCAAAGTTGGGGTCGCGTGATCACTTGCCCACCTTTGTGTCCGCCCCTAATTATAAGTTGTATTGAAGGGCACAAAGGTGTACATACTGTGGTGGGGTCCGTGGGGAACACCCGTTTCCTTCATCGCCCATGTTGGATTTTGGACCCACCTCACGCGTTTGCCTAAGGTATTCCAAATTTTTTTGTCTTCCAACTCCTCGTAAGTCGTAATTAGCTGTAAACAAATGCCATGTTTGATTTTTCTTTTTCTGTCATTTTCTATGTTGATCATCTTACATCTATACTATACGATGCACTCTGTATTCAGCTGTACAAAAACTCGCCATCATAATATTTTACGGACATTAGTTTAGGTTTTTTTTTTTTGGTTTGTTCAAGGAAGACCACATAATTTAATTCAAACGAACTTTTTAAGGAACAAGCGATTCACTCTCTCACTACTAACTGATCCTTCGATGTACCCCTCTTTCAAAGTAATTGACCTTGATTATTTATTTTTAAATTGATAAAAAAAAAAATTTTATGTGAACGTAAGATTAAGTTTGTTGCATGTGTCTTGAAAAATGATTTCATATCATTTTTTCTTAATGTAACATTATGAACCATATTTCTTAAGTATAAATGAGGGGAAATTTCGAAATGAATAATGTTATTTGCAGTCGTCTTACGTGACATATATGTGACGATCAGTGATTTGTTGCATAAGGTAATAAAAAACTACCATATTAATGTATCAAATCACTAAATGTCACATGTATGCTATATAAGACAATTATGATAGTGAACGACTACAAATAGCATTACTCTTTCGAAATAGAGTTTATCAACGTTAAGAGGAAAATTTTCAAGAAATCAATCTCTCTTTCTACAATATGGAGGGTTAGTTCTGGACATGTGTAGATTGTACCTAGCATATGGTTATGTTTCCATTTTTAGCAACCATGATAGGAGCCATGTGTTTTTAACTACCAATTGCATACAAAAACCTAGTGTACATGCTATGAGATAGTCATCATGCTACATTACGAGGATAATTGAAGTTGCAAATAATACTATTGATTCCTCCCTCTTTTGTCCTTTCCCTCTAAGTCAGTAGCAGGTAAGACATTATAATTACTCGATGTTCAATGTGTTAAAGTTCTGTAGTGAACTAATAAAATCAATTACAATTAATTTGGTAAACTTCTACTTGAATATAGATCGTGACAAATTTATTTTTTAACCAATAGGGTCTTCTTCTTGTTTGTACGACGACATAGAATTTTTATCCGTAACATTTATCATAGATAGAATGAAGATGTGGTATTTATTCATTTGCAAACTACTTTCATGCTATGGAAAGAGACTTAAACCTTACAACATGTATCATCAATTTAATAATCACGGTGGTCATATATCTTAAATATTATCTTTGTCCAAACCTGCGATTGACTGGAATCATTAAATCAAGCATATGTATATAAGACAAAACCATTTATTTTTATTGGATTTGTTTAACTATATGGGTTGCAATTGATATCCAATCATCTTTTCCATCTTCAATATATCAATTAACAACATTCTGATTTGTTTTTGCTTAATGAAAAATTGTTACAAAAACAAAATAAATCATTTCTTCAAATTATTCGAAGTTGGCTTAATTTCAAACATTTTGACTAAGTGATGGTGCATGTCACATGAAGACTCTATTAGACCATGACTCTAGAATTAAAGATTGAGAACGATACGAAAGGTATTATTATATCATGTCATGAGATGAATTGCATTTGGCCAACATTTGATTTTTTTTTTTAATTGATGCAAATAATCATGTCAAGACAACTGGTATTAATTGATAGATTTAGATATTATAAGAGAAGGTATATAACCCGATTCCCACTTGTGGGACCCATTTGCCAAAACTGGTTGACAGAAGGCCAGGAAAACACACCACTTTCACGGTCTCACATTCACTACATATTGGCTCGCAATCCCCATTCCCAAATCCCAACTACAAACCCTCCCAACCCCCCCTCAATCCCTCTATTGCCTCAGGGACCATTCTCTTCATTCACAAAACATTTTGCTACTACAGAAGCTTCAATTTCACTAACAATGACTCGATCACAACAACGATTCCGGGGCGTTAGGCAGAGGCATTGGGGCTCGTGGGTGTCCGAAATTCGTCACCCTTTATTGTAAGTGTTTTGCTTATTGTGTTAATTTATGATTTTTTCCCAACAAGTGGTATGAAATGAAAAGTTTTATGTATGTGGTGCAGGAAGACTAGAATTTGGCTAGGCACGTTCGAGACCGCAGAAGATGCAGCTAGAGCATACGATGAAGCAGCCAGGCTAATGTGCGGTCCAAGGGCTAGAACCAACTTCCCTTACAATCCCAATGTGTCACATTCATGTTCCTCCAAGCTTCTTTCAGCCACATTGAAAGCAAAATTGCACAAATGCTACATCGCTTCACTTCAAATCACCAAACAATCAATGCAACACGCACAAAGAGTTCCTCTGGCAATAGGCAATGTTAATGAAACCAGATTTTGGTCACCGGAAAATAAGTCGATGGTGTCAACGACTCCGAACGAAGAAACGAATTGGGTTGTCAAGAAGGAAGTACAAGTGGTGGAGAGCTCCTGCACACAACAGTGGATCAAGCCACTTGAAGAAGACCATATAGAGCAAATGATTGAAGAACTTCTTGATAATGGATCTGTTGAGCTCTGCTCTGTTGTGCCATCCCAGGATATGCAAACTAGTTCAAGCCTAGTTGTATAAAGTGGTGGCAAGTACAAAACGGGACTATAATTTCTTATTTTAGTCTAGACTTTAGAGAGGTTATAAAGGGAAAAGAATTAATGTGGTTCTCTTTCACTTTCATAAATTTCCCCTACTGTCTCTCAGTTTGCTAATTTAACCCTATTTAATTCTGCTATATATCCAATTCTCTATATTTGTATTAGGATTTAGGTCTTCTCAAGTAGTCTGGCTCATTGACAAGTGATAGTGAAGCTTGAACTAAAGATA